TCTCTTCTCACCTGAGATTTGTATTTTGAGTCAGCTGGGAAGTTTGTTTCCACGTTGAGCCACCACAGGTTTGACAGCTGAGGAACTAAATCCTTCCTGGCCTTTGCAGCTGTCCATGGCTCCAGTAGTTCTTTGAAACAATATCTTCTGAGTATTTAATGAAGTGCAAGTTGGAAAGTGCCTGGGACCTTGGAGAGATTAAGTAAAATGTACCTAAGACCTCTATCCAGCCAGCAGCTGGATTTTGCTTATGAAATCCTCTATCCTACCCGATTTTGTTGTCTCCTTCTCCCATTGAGTGCATCAATATACAGACAAAGTCCCCACACCGGCGAGTCAGCTGCACCTTGGGTGGTCCCTCCAGCTGTGAGCCCTGTTGAACCAGTTCTTCACATCCATTCCTTGAGGTTTGCAGAACTGGTCCAGCCTGTCAGCCGGATCCTGCCGATCTGCACCGGCCCACAGTCAGGACAGCTGGCAGTGGCTCTGCTGCTGCCAGGTTGCTTGTGTTGGGCCCTATGAGACCACGGCAGTGGGCAGGAGTGAGTGTGATGTGCTTAGAGAGGATGCGAGAAGGGTATCCACCCTTCAAGTGGTGCCTTGAGTACTCGTGCTCAGAGTGGTAACAACGTGCCCAGCAGATCAGTATAGCACAGCTGTCTGTATTTTCAGTGATGGGTTTGCAAAAGTACCACAACAGAGTCCTTGTTTGGTGCTACTCCTCTTCATCTGCATGCTCCTTCCATTCACACTCTGGTCCTTTTCTGTTTCCCTATAAATAGGCAGCAAAAAGAGATGCGGATACTTTAAGAGACTCTGGTGATATCTAAGAAATTCAAGATCTCACTAAAAAAGACATCTAAAATCAAAACACTGGGACTCAGGGGACCGTTGACCACCAGCCAGATCTGATACAGAAGCACCAGCAGATTTCTGGGTAACAAACAGGATGACCATCATGTCCATGAGGTCCAGGATGCCCACGTGTGTGGCCATGTCAGCTTCTGAGTTGGACATTGTGCGCTGCTCAGTGACATCCAGGATCAAGTCAGAGCATGAATAAAGCTGCTAATATATCGTTACAAAAGGAGGATTTTTTTCCCCCTTGAAGATCTAAATACTTGAGCTACTAGATATATGATGATAGTTGAGATCTTTGGGGTTGATATTCCCCCTGGTGACTTCTCTGGTGAAGAGTGGGGGATGCCGTGGCTGTGGTGCTGTTCAGAAGAGGTGTAAGGAGCGCAGACCCCTGAGAACATGCACGAGTCATTAAAGAGGACGCCTGGCAGGCACCTCCACAGCATTTTGATAGGACAAAGGGTAATGGTTTTAAAATAGAGGGAGGTAGATTCAGGTTGGATATTAGGAAAAAATTTTTTACCATGAGAGTTGTAGAACACTGGAACAGGTTGCCCAGAGAGGTGGTGGATGCTCCATCCCTGGAGACGTTCAAGGCCAGGTTGGACGAGGTCCTGAGCAACCTGATCTAGTTGGAGATATCCCTGTTCCTTGCAGGGGGGTTGGACTAGATGGCCTTTGAAGGTCCCTTCCAGCCCTAACCATTCTATGATTCTATGATTCTGTGATTTTGGGGTTAAAGTGTCAGGGCAGGAAGTGCTGGAGGGTGCCGTTTTTGGTGACTGGCCATTCAGGTTGGTGGGGTGGCTTGGGGAGCACAGACTGGTCAGGGCGTGGAGGAGGGCTGCTGGTTCCCAGTGCTCTGCACGCATGGGGCACTGTGCCATAGCCGCTGGGCTATGCTGTGCCCGTGGCTGTAAAACACCCCCAGGAGCCTGGAGCAAACAGACCGAGTACAAAACCACAAAAACCCAACTATGGAAGATAAACTCTTGGGTCAATAATGCGCTGGGCTTGGGCCAGCTCTCCCAGTGCTGCACAGGGCTGAGCCTCCAAGGGACAGAGACTCACAGAGGTTTCACTCATGCTTATCCCACCATCAGTGAGGCTGGCTCTGGCAGGGATGGACTCTGCTCCAGGCAGTGTGGTTTGGGGACAGCAGATAGAAGGAAGCACCTATGTCCCTGGGATAGGGAGGGACATTGGCATCCATCAGAGCTGGTGCTCTGGAGGTGCTGGGGTGTGCAGTCTTGTGGATGCCAACCAGGGGAGAAGGTGGAACAGGGAGGCAAGAGAAATTCCATGGACCCCTGCCATGGGCACACATCACAAGTGGGAGGTTTTTCCAGGTAGCTGGGCCTGGCTGATTGCTTCTGCCTGTGTATGGGGGAAACTGAAGCCACCATGTCCTGCCTATACTCATGCCCCTCCATGCTGGCTGCCAGCAGGAGCTGAAGGACGCTGAAGGCACCTTCCGCACACACACAAATACAGAGACATATTTGGGTTTGATTTGTGAACCACACCCCCGACATGCATCCTGCTGGGGAACAGTGCCTGCCCTGCCTGGAGCCACACAAGTTGGGTGACTATCAGAGACCACAGATGAACCAGAGAAGGGAAAATATGCAAGCAGGAATACGTGGCAGGGAATGCAGGATCCTGGGTCTGCAGGACCTTGGCAGTGCTGTGCTTGGACTGGGCCAGTGTGCGGTGGGGTGCATTGGAGGCCTCTGTTCCTGCGTGAAGCTGGATATGGCCTCATCAGTGCACGCCAAGAGGTCTGGACACAGGGATGACAGTACTTTCCTGGGTGGATGAGCATCAATCTCCACGCCTTATCACCCCAAAGTTTTCCCCTGGCCATGCGCTGGTGATGTACATCCAATGTCAGGTGCTGGCAGAGACTTTGCTCCCCAGCAAGCATCGTTCAGGAGTGGTCTGCTCCACTGGCCCGGGAGGCAGGAGGGACAACTGGTGACAGGGACCTATTTCCCTATTTCTACCTATTTCCCGCTGGGTTCCCTGGGTGATACCACCAGCTTCCTGGGCGTTGTCCCTGAGCCACAAACCCAGGCATTCACCCAACAAAGGAGAGACATTCAACAGTGACAAAGCCCTCAGCCAAGCTTCACAGGCTGGATTGAACAGGTTTAGCATTAGCAATTAAAAATCCCAGAGCAAATAAAGGAGGGTGTTGGTTGCTGCTGCCCTTCCTTACATATAGCTGCAGTATCCAACTAATGCTTGTTACAGGCTCTTATCTGGAGGTGCATCAAGGAAATTCTCAAAGAGGTAGTCCCGAGGGCATAGGAGTGGAAAAGGACCCTGAGACCTGGGGGTGGAGGGTAAAGCTGAACTCCTGGTCCGGGCATCCTGGTAAGCGTAGGGCTGTAAAACACTGTGACTCACACTGCAGCTTCCGTGCTCCCGGGAGAGTCGAGAAGACTTCCTGGCTGCTTCTTGCAGTCTCTGCCAACAAGACAAGAAATAGAGAAAAATCAGTAAATAATTTAAAAAAAAAAAAAGGTTTCTCACCAGTTGTGGGAGGCTTTATGAAAAAAAAGGAAATCTTTCTCGAGTGACCCGTGGATGGGGATCATGTCATTTGGCAATCTTCCTGCATTGTGCACTGGGAGGTGTATGCCTGGGGGCACTGGCCTGGCTGAGATGCTAAAACTGAGGCGAGGCGAGTCTGGTCTCAGCTCTGATACTCACGCGTGTGTCAGTGGGGGACATCTCCCCCATCTCTGCCTTCTCTTTGTCTCCTACTGTTATAAAACCATTAGCTCTTCGGGGTGAGGGTTGGCTCTGGGGTGCAGGGTTCGCTCTTGGTTGGGGCATCCTACTGTCATCATTTTGTCAGGCACCATACAGCTGGAGCACTGTGGTGCTGCTTGTTAATTAACTCAGGCTAATTGGCTCCACCAGCCTTCCCAGCCCACTGTCCAGGAGGAATATCCCCTTGGGATGCTGGGAAGGAGGTAGGATGCTGTCCATGCAGCAGTGCTCTCCCGACACACGGACATTTCCACCTCTGTTAAGCTTTGCGATGGTGCTGCTTCTCATAGATGAGGCCAAAACTGCACCCTTTGCAGCAGCTCTTGGCTGACCTGGAGGTTTCCATGTCACCACCAGCCTCTCCGTGCAATGCAGGGGCTGATGCTCAATGTGTGGATCCCTCCTGCTGTAGGATGAGGCTGCAGAACCCAGCCAAGGTCCGTGCCGCCCGATCTTTCTGCTTGTCGGGTGACTGCGAAACAAACCAGGCATGTTCTAGACCAGCCTGAGATTAAGAAAGCATAATCTCAAAGCCAGTGTTCAAACATGGCCCTTTGTACCTAGTTTCTGTGTATTTAGTGTTTGTCACCAGGCTGTGTACAGGGCATCATACCGGTGCCCTGGTGACACAACCGTCACTTGGTTTCTCACTGTTCCCCATTACTTGGATGATAATACGTTCCCCGCTGGCAAGATCTTCCCAACCTGGGCAGCCCGGTAGCTCACCCTGCTGTGATGGGAGCATGGCAACGAGCAGCAGGGCTTGTTCACTCACACACTATTTACACAGATGTTTTGGTGCTAAGCGACGGCCTGGGTCTGGATTGTTCTCATTGACTTTATTTGTCGGGCTGTATCACTGGGAGATGCTCACACTCTCTGTCCCTCTGCTACCAAAAGCTGTCGTGAGAGAGCAGCGGCTCTCCAGGACTCTCAACTCACATTGTCTGATGGGAAGAACTGAGGAAAGAAACCCCAGATGCTAGCCACCTCCAATTCCCACCCAAATCCGCCTCCCCACATTCATTCAGACAGGCTCAGCTCATCAAAACCAGGCTCCTGTCCACCATTACTCCATTCCAGAGCATTTTAAAATCTAACATTGCTCCTGAAGAGTGGCTGGCCTGCCGAGACCTTTGCATTCCCCAACACTACCAAAGCATCCCTGTGCATGCTGAGCTGTAGATACCTTTCCTCTGACGGTCCATCTGGCTGGTCGATGCTGCAGGGACCAGCGTGCCCTTCCCTTTGGTCTTTTTGGATGCTCTTCACCGACTGGATCATACTTTGGAGCTTCCCAGCACGTGATGTTGCCCCTCCAAATACAAGTTTCCATCTGGCTTTGCCAGAGCCACTGGTTAGTTAAAACCTAGCTCCTTAAAGGGGACCTCGATGTTGAATGTGTACCAGAAGATCCAGAAGATGAGGCTGGAGGCGAGCAGCAGAGCTCCCAAGTAAACGAAGAAGTCCCAGAAGCTTAGAGGAGCAAAAATTCCCAGGAAGAGGACAATCAGCCCGATTACATCGCACAGCACAGCCAGGAGCAGTATCACAGCACATCGCCCGACCAGCTTGCGGAGGTCCATGGTGGAGCCCCCAGCAGAGACCCTCAGGGCGGGGGCGGAGGGTCTGGTAGCATCCCGGCAGTCTCTCCCTCACTGCCGCTGCTCACGGGCTGCCAGGAGGAAGTACAAATGTCACAACACACCTTGCAGAACAATCGGGAGGGAGCACACGATACTGCTTTAACCGTTTCATTGCCCTGCCATTGCCCTGCTTCTGCCTGTCCTAGAGCAGATCCCAGGGGTGAATTTCTCTGCATGGTATGTCTCAGCCTTCTGGGCAAGGGAACCGCCACCGGGATCCCCTGTGATCGGTCCAGGTGTAGGTGCATCACGCCCAGTCTGCCCAAAATCTGCAAGTCTGGTCCTGACCCAGCCCACAGATGGGATGCACTCCTTTGGTTTGAGAACTGGGGCATCTGGTGTCACTTTTGGGCAGCACCCGCCACGCAAGGATCCCAGCAAAGTCTGCAGGACACCGGCTCTGACATCTCAGTGAGAGCCTGGAAACATTGCACTGGTCCCCCTCTCTGAGGGGCCGCGGAACGGAGGCATGGGAGTTTGTCCAGAGTGTCAAAAATACGTCACCCTTGCAACACCTCTGAAAAGCAAGTCTTGCTGGAAAGCCACAAACCAGATTATCTGTGTCATCACCCATCCCAAAAATGGGAATGGAGCAAGTCCGTGACGAATCACCAAATATGGCAAAATTTCCCAGTGCTCTTGGCTTGTCTCTGAGCATCCAGCATCACTTCGAGGGATCCAGGACTGCTGCTTTCTGCACCCAGGTTGCTGTGTGACACTGGGGGCATCTTTCCCCTCCTTGTCTCTCTGGTCCGTGCAGGCTTGGCAAACAGGGAAGGTCTGGGGGAGGTGGAGCATCCATGGAGCCCTTGGTGCTGTGAAAGCCATCCCAAGACACGAGCACTGCACAGTCTGTGGGCTGGCAGCTGAATGCCCTGTCTCCTGGCCACGCAGGGGATGCCAAAGCTGGAGACAGGACCGTTAGGCAGGAGGTCAGCGTCAGGGACTGGAGCAGTGCCCAGCTGCAGGTACCTGCTGGAGATGGCCTTAGCTCCAGGGGATGGAGGGGTCACACTACGAGTGTCCTCCCCAATCTCCTTGCCAAACCCAGGGCACTCAGGGCCCGTCTGCTGCCTGGGCAGCCCCCCCACCACTCTGCCATGAGTGAGGTGACGGCTGGAGGGAATGGGGGACACCACCTACCTTGCCTGAGTGGTTCCCTTGCTGCCCAGGGAATCCCAGGTGCTAAGAGTCATCGTGCTCCTGCCTGACACCCACAGTGTGCATCTCGCAAACAGCAAGCACGTGGCAGAGGTGGCTGCCCAGCACATTCCCGTGTTCTCTCTCCTACCCTCATCCAGCCTGCTACTGGAAAACACAGGGCAGACAGCACTGTGCAAACCATCTATTCCAGTGTGCGCTGCTCCCTCCCGATGGCAAAGGTCTGCCTGATCCAAGAGATATTTTTTTCCCTCTTGTCTGAACAATGAAGGCTTTTAAATACACAAGTAAATAACTAATCTTTTCTTTGTGCATTATCACCCTCTGGGACCTGGGGGAGAATCTGCTCTTTGCCAGGCCAGGCCAGGACCAGCCCTACATTAATTACCAGATTGTGGAGGGAAGTGCTGGGGCACAGCTTCTTCCAGGATCCAATCACCTCATTTGCAGGAAACGTGCTCTAAAATCTGCCTTCATGGGTGCTCAGCCAAAAAACTCCCTTCCTCTCAAAACCAGCCCTCAGTTCCCACTGATCTTCTCGGCACCTGCAGACTCCCGGGGAGCCGAGCTGAGGAGTCACCCAGCGTTCAGCAGCCAGAGGTTTTCCAGCCCCTCAGCCCTCGGTTCAGACTGGTCTTGTCTGTACACTGATGGTCTTCCCTTACCCCAGCCTGGCTTGCTGTTGGGCACCCCGTTGGGTGGGTACCTTTTCCTGTACTCTTCTTTCAATGAACCGCAATGGTTGTGGAGGTGGATGGAGGAAGGAAAAAGGGATTTTCGGCTCGCTGCTCCCCAGTTTAGCCACATTTTTATGAACCCACCTGAGGTTTAGTGTTGATGATGATGGAACTGCTCCAGCCAGTTTTCTGATGAGCTGGAGCCCTGCCACGCTCTGAAAGAAAGAACCTTTTCTGTGTCCCCTCTTTCTCCCACAGCTGTATCCAGTTCCTGTGTCCTTTGTTTTTTCTGAGCCTTTATCTTTTGTTCATTGAATTTTAGGGGGTTCTTCCAGGTCAGTTTTATTATAGTGGGACAGCCCCAGAAGATGCCTTAAGACTTTCCTGTCCTTTGTAGCCTGATCTCTGATCCTGACAGATATTAGCCACATGGGGCAGAGTGGACATCACCCCAGGAAACCCCATCAGACCAGCAACACCCTCCAAAAGCAAACAGTGTGAAGGAAGATGGGTCTGAAGGAAGGACCTCAGGTCAATCCAGCCCCACACTGCAAAAGGCTCGTCCCACCTTGATCTCACCAGACTAGACAAAGAAGTCTTCTCCTGGGCTGCATCCCATGCCTGGGGCAGCCCAGGAGTGAAAAAGAGAGCAAGAAAACTTGCGAAGGTTGTTGCAACACAGAAATTGGGAATTGCTGACTCCACTCCGGAGAGTGGAATAGCTGTGATAGCTCCTGTTCCTCTAGAGGAGACACTGTGTGATGGGATGGCCTGTCCCGTACATCTGGTGTCCCTCTGGGAGAGCTCTGGGTTTTTCCCACTGCAGGTGAGGCTTTCTTCAGCCTTCCTTCCACTGCAGCCTCCGGCTTTCATGAGCCAAATGTTGCAAGGTGAGCACTCTGCATTGCCCTTCGGGAGGGTATCAGTGGCCTGGTTTGGGTTTGGTCTTTGGAGGTTGGGTGTTCATTTGGATGCGTTCAAGTGATGCTGAACCCCACCAAGCAGTGCACGAGAACATCAATTTGCCCAGGAGAGCACGAAAGGAAATGTGATGCACTAAATAAAGTCACTCCCTGGGTTGGAAAGGAACCCAAAGATTTCCAGAAGTTCATTCATCTCCAGTTAATGGCTCAGAGAACTGCAAACAGATGCATTTTGCTCCGAAGAGGCTTAAAAAAGAGCAGAAAACTCTGCGTACCTCTTCTGCCTTTTTCTAGACCAGTTCTGCCGTAGCTAGAAAGATGATGTTGGCCTGGAGCTGGCCCGGAACAGGTTTGCAGAAAGTATGTGGCAAGAGAAAACCAGTTCTTCACAGGGGACAATGAACATTGCTTCCCCCAGTTACATAATAGTTGGGAGCAGCAAGAGTTTGAGCAGGCAAATGGAAGCGATCTGACAAAATCTTTGACTAGCAGGAGTCAGCCAATATTTATTTAACTGCAGCACATGAAGACAAACCCAAGAAGGAGCCTTCCTGTAGTGAAACCCCAGTAACTCCCTGTAGTATGGGCTGAGCTTCTATGAAATATCTGCCTGAGGATGAGGAGGAAACAGATGGGCAGCAGAGTGCTGCTTGACCAAGCAGCCCCAGGACTGCTCATGCATGGTGATCTCCAGCCACACTCTGTGGCTCAATGCTGGCCGTGCCTGTGGTGGTGAATGGCTCAAGCTGCCATGCATGCAGGGACTGCAGACAAGCTCTGCTTTGGCAGGGGGTGGGCAAACCTTCTCCTGCAGCACAAGGGGACTGGTTTCCTTCAAGGGTCAGCAGCTCCATGCAGGGTCGGAGTGTTTTGGGATTGGGTCTTAGCTGGTGGACTCATGGCTGCAGGAGCGAAGCTGCTCTCCAAGTGCTCTCCTCCCAAGTACGGGTGTAGGAAGAGCTTCCTTGACCGAATGAAAGCTCAGAGCAATTTATATTGAACTCTCAGGACATGTCCCTGGGGAAGAATGGTAAAACCAGCACTGCCCCCCTCAAAAGACACCAATTGATAGACACTGAGTGATTGTACCTCTTCCTACAGCTGGCAAAGGAGCCCAGACATCATGGCTGGACAGGAACTGCACTGAATTAGGAAAGGCTCCTTCCCCCAGCGCCCCTTCCAGTGAGCCCTGGCTGGTGACACCGATCCCCTGGAAAGCATCCCACAGAGGACGGCGTTTCAAAGCATCCTGGTGTGTGACAGTTTAACACATGCCCCCCTCTACTGAAAGAAACTCCCACAGTTGGCAGGGCCCTTCCCATCCCGGACCAGGGCAGCTCAGCCCACCCAGACCACAGTGCAGAGGGGGTCCTGCACTCTCTGCCCAGCTTCGCGCTGTGAACATCACCGAGCTCTGGCTGGCACACGGCTTTAGTGGGTGCACAGTCGTTGAAAGCTTTTCTGCAAGATCTGCAAATGCTCCCCAGGAGCAGCCAGCAGCTGGAGAGGGTCCTATGCAGCCCTGTCTGTCAGAGCTGAGCGGCAGGAGGTGGG